CACGGTGAAAAGGCTTATTGTTCAGTGGCATGCGGCTCTACTCAACCTTCCACATTGCCGTTGCCTCTTTTCAAAGTGGGGACTATTGTGAAGCTGGTGATTATGATGCAAATTCAGTCTTTTCATTTCTGGGCTACACACAAAGGCCAATCCCCATATATACAAGAGCCAGGGTCTGCCTTCTTTCACCGTGTTCGCTCGAGCGCGGGCCAAAAAATAATAGCTGAAAAGCGGGCCGAGGATCTCAATTTTTACGGCGGCTCTTACCATCATCCATTGCGAAGGGGTTAAATAACTTGGTCCTATTTGAAATAGCTGCCAATGCAGAATTCCAGGCAGGGAAAATATTTGCTGAGCAGAATATAGAAAAAAGTCAATGGCCAAAATTGTACACCATGCATACACCTGCTGCAAGTGATTCTCAACTGATTTGTGCTCAGGACGAAAATGTGCATAGCAGATTGCTGTGAAATTCAGTCCTGGTCATCACTGTAGCTTACTGTAATGTCTTGAGGTGTTCAACTCCTGCTGGTATGCCTTGTGGTGTGCCTAGAGATCCTTCATTAAGTGGACAGTCATCCTCAGCGGGGCAATGCAACATTTCTACACTGTCAAACCAAAAAATACCCAAGATTGTTTGTTAACAGGACAGAGAAAATTTGATGAGCAATTTTCTGGAAAAAAGCTAATATTTTCACTATGTGAAGAGTTTTGTAGGTGAATCGAGATTAAGCAAGCAATTTCACAAAACTGATTGAAACAAAAAAGTTAAAACTGAGATATAGACATTGTTTCCTTTCATAGAATAAGGTGAAGTCATCATTCCAATTTAGTAATATACTCCAACATTTTGGAACTAAGGACTGACCTACAAACTTTTTCCAGCTCGTCAACAACCTCCTCTTCCGTTCCAATCATCTCAGCCATCTCCCAGTTGGATTTCGGGATCCTCGCTGGAAGCATGGCCTCTTCCGATCCCAACACTTTTTCACACTCCTTCAAAAAGTCGCCCACATGTAGCAAGGGTGACACAGTGAAACCCGGCTCATCCATGTACCTCTCTGAGGGTCCAGCTTGGTCCCCCATTTCACTGGACCTCAAAGAATGTTACACCTGAACTTGAGAAAAGAGAGCGATGGTTGAGAGCAATGTTATTGCTTCTGTTGTTATCGTTGGACTTGGTTGCTTTGATTTTTGGTCACGGCATTCCAAGTAATAAAGACCAGCACAACCGCAGGGCTGAGTCAATTCAAATACTTGGATATTCAAGTATTTGACCTTCCATTCAATCAAATAATTGAATATTCAAATATTTGTCCTTTCATTTGATAGAATATTCCAATATTCTGATGTACCAAATTCCAACAATAGGTGAAACAAACATTTCTACAAAAAGTAAACAAGAAAGCTTTGATGGAATACGCAAAATGCATTCATCTTCACATACCTTTAAGTTTACTCACAGTACCTTGAAATAGCATAATTACTGTGCACTTTATTTACCAAATTTCTTTTTTATTTTATTTATTTTTTCCCTCCGAATATTTGATTTCAAAACAGACATTGAATATTTGATGATTAATCGAATAACGGAATACACGTATGCTAAGAATTGGCACAGTGCCACACGTATAACCATGGAGCTATGAAATAGAGCTTCGTGATGTAATCAAAATGCAGTAAGGTACAATGTAGCTAGCTTTGGGGGATGCTAACCAGCAGGATGCAAAACAGGATGGACGGCAAAATCAGGATTTTCTCAATCATTCTGAATTCTGCCTCTCTGAGCCCAACAGTTCTAAGAATTTTGTATAATGGTAGAAAGGCTTTGTGGGAAGGCAAAAGGTTCAATGTTTGCTCCTTTTTCCTTCCCACAATTCCTTTCTTACCATTGTGCAAAATCACCCACACAGTATTTGCGATAAGGGAAGTTAGGCTATGGCCATGGCTATTATTCTGCTGCATGTACAGATGTGTGGAATTCTTCCCCCTATATCCCCTGCTTTTGGTCATCATGGTAGTGTTGGGTCAAAGCATGGAGGAAGGAGGGAAAATAATGTACACGTGATTCCTAACACAGCATGCAATTACTCAACAAAATTTCACCTGAACCTGTTTCCGAATAATGTGGCAGAAGCAATGTCACCTTTCCTACAAATTCACAGCAGTCACAACCAACACCACCGGCAATGCACCATCAATGCATCATCAGGAGAAAACAGCATTTCCAAANCTTGCGCACCTGACAGGTCACTGACTAATAAACTCTCTGTTCAATTATTATATTAGACGTCTGGGTACAGTCACGTAGGCACAGGGCTACCTCTAGTGCAGTACTAGTGAACGACTGTTGCATGTTTCATTTACAAAAGATGGCTGTGTCAACACCAAGCTTTGCTGTTTCGTTACAAAAACTCACGAATTCAATCAAACCTGAGGACATACTGAACTTCTATTATGTGTCATCCGAAAGAGGTTTTGTTTTACATCATAAAAATGGTGACGTTGTGGTTGTAAATATTGGAGGCGAACCAGAAAACAACAATATCATCGCTCGAAATGTTCTGCAGTTGCGGTAAGTAGGTACGGTAGGCCTATATATATGCGACTTCGTCGAACTAGGCCTAGCCTAGCTACATGTAGTTAAGTAGTTTGTGTTCTTAGGGCTCACATCATGTATTCTCATTCTTGTTAGGCCTGAATGGAACTACTATTTATTTGAAATAAATTCGAATAGGCCTTTCCTTAATGCCGTTGACCAACATGACGAATGTAGGCCTATGTGTGTGTGTGTATTATTCTATTAATTTGTATTTCATGTGTCTTTTATCATGTTTATTTAGTTGGTTTTCGTTTTTGCTTCTGAGTTCAGTTGTGCTGTTGTAAATTGTGTAGATGGCACTGGGTTATTTTATTACATGAAGTATCATTCTCGCAGTCATCAGTTGGTTGAATGTCAGACAACTAGACGATTTACCTGCTTGAATTGGGACAATCCTTTAACTTGAGCGTGAGACAACTCGACCGTTGGGACCACTCCACCATTTACATGTACTAAGTCGTCCATTAAGTAGAACAAGTCAACTTTGATGTGGTGACAACTCCACTGTTAGAGGCATGTGCAATTACCGTGGTGTTCAAGACAGATTGCCATTCAGTGTGTTTTTGCATTTACTTGGGTTGCGTTATGCTGCGTTTCAGCATGGGAGGCTACTTATAAATGGAGTGTGATATTTCCATCCGTAAACTGAGCCAACATTTACATGTAAACCTTTAAATATTACTGTGACTTGACGTGGTATCACGCATTTCATCATTAATATTACTTCCTGTTTGGATGGCAGTCTTGTCACCTAATTAGCCTTCTGTGGACTGAGTTGGTGTCAAGCAAACCCAACCCCACCAATTCAGTGATCAAACCCAGACATGCCAATACAGTTTTCAGCCTAACCGTGGCTGGACGCCCACAGATTGTACAAGTTGCCATATTTTCTCTGGTTCACCCATGTACATATTCTGTAGTTGCGGGGATGTACGCTTGTCGTTGTGCTGATTTTGTTGGAATATGCTGTGGGGACAGAGAAATATCCCCACAACTCGGTCATAATTTGCCTAACAATGAAAACTTCCCGTATTGCGTAGAGGGCCCATATAATCACAGACCCACTGACACAGTGGATTTGTGTCAGTACACGACTGATCATAGCGGATAACTTGTCTCAAATGTTGAATTATCCTGAGTCAAGTTGCCAAACAATCAGTTTGTCTGAGCCCCTGTGGGCATGGTCGGTTAAACCATGTATGGAGGAACACCTCCATGCTTGTGCAGGGCTGACTGTGAAATCTGCTGTGCAGAAATTGGTTGCTCCTACATTCACACAGGAGAACTTGCACAATTATTCTTGTATCCAGCAAATAATGATTTCCTTGAGGAACTTAACATGCAATAACCATAATGTGATGCATCGGATGTCAACTTCCTACATGTGCAGTGTTCTTCCCTTGAAAACAAAATCCTCCTGTAACGAAACTTCTTCCTTCACATCTTACCAATGGACAATGCTTCTTTTTCTGTTTTCATGTAACCACTAAACAGAAGTAGTGATCTACCGGTATTTTAGATATAAATCTCTTTTAAATCACAGCTTACACTCAGGCAGGAGGACCGAGGCTTTGCCGCAAGCATCATTGTCCTTTCTTGCTCTAAGTCAGGACCTCTGTCTAAGCCTACACGATGTATCCTTGGGTCGTGATTCAGAGTTGGTCAGATCATCGTCCAGTGCAACATGCACTAAACGGCAGATGGAGACATTGTTGCAGGAGCACTGGAAAGGAGGCAAGTTTAATGGATACCCAAGAATACATCACTGTTGGCCACAATTGGTTGATCTGCGTAATTGTGTGATCTTGTGGGTGGTGAGATCTGTGTACTGTTTGGAGGTTTCTAGTTCAAATAGTGTGCTGGTGTTCTAGGCAATCTCTTTGTCCAACTTTGTATTGGCAGTGCTTGAAACCCTCTTGAATACGCTGCAGCTTAGAACACGGGGGCTTTTATTTTAAAATTATTCCCTTCCCCCCGAAGTAATACCTCATAAAATTACCTGTAAGCATTAAGATCTAAATTGAATTTAACCAATGTGTGTGGCTTGTTATCATGATTCCTTTGCAGAATCGTACACCTCTGAAGTTTTATTTTTGGTTATGGTGATTATGTAGTTGTTTAAACATGTTTCAGTTTGATTGTCACTTGCATTGTTATTGACAGACTTACATGTACCTGATTCATCCCACATCCATCTCCTGGCATTTGAGTCATCGACGGCAGCCGTCCTCTGTGGCAGCCTCTTCTTAGAGTTGACCCTCCGGGAGGACAGAGAGCCAGAATCCAAGGAATGCCTGGCCTTGGTCTGGGACCCCAAGGAGGGCAGCGTGGTGCACTGCCAGATGCTGCATGGATTGGTCTTCCTGTTGCACCAGTCTGGAAACATCAGTATCCTCTACCTAAGCCTTTATCGAGCCCTTTCTCAGTTTAGCATTTTTGCCCATGGCTACGGCTACAGAAACATGTCTTTGGTATCATTTGGAGCTCTAGCCATTGTAGCCAACTACAACTGACTCAGACCCTAACCTGTAAAGAAGTGGTAGAAATAACTTGCTCTGTCTTGATCTTGAGTCATCAAGTTCATTTTGAACTTCAGTTGAATATCTGAACTTGTTGGGACTTACAAAAAAAGTCTGTGTACAGTATTAGGTTTACCACCACAAGCCCTCATTTTTCATGATTAAACTTTTGAAATTTATGTACGGTATTTGGTTTGCAGTTTGATGCATTTGTTCATGTTTGCTGGATCTTTTTTGAGGAAGATAAATTGTACCTCCCAAAAATTATTAGTTCATAACTTAAGCATTTATTACAATTTTTCTATGCACTTGTTAATGCCATTTAGATATGGTTACGTTACTGACAGGTGTACATTGTATGTCATTGAATTAAAGAGTATAATTTGTCTTACCTGATTTGTTGATTGTAACTGACAGCCATCAGTGTCATTTGCTCAAGATCTTTTCGTGGCTGGGCAATTTCTCTCTTTAACTCTAGTCTAACTGTAGCTGTGCATTCAGTGAGCAAGAAAGCAGCAGTAGCCACCGTCAACTTCCAGAAGTTTCTCCATCACATCTTCCCCAGCGCTAGCATGGAAATGCTCCAGCCTCTCCACCCCGAACACCTGGAGGTCAGTCCCGACCTGCAGACATTAATTCTAACACAGCACCAGGCTAAGTTCAACATCTACAAGGTCAACCTCAATGAGTACTTCGACACCTACCCGTATCACCTCCGAGTTCAGAGGTCGGGTAGGTTTACTTTCCCTGCAGGGAGCTGGAGAGAAGGGGATGAAGACAGGATCACTTTTCTGCACGGTGGGGTCAGAGTTCAACAGGAGGGAACTGGTGGAAACAGGAGCTGGTTGAATACGTTGTCATCAGCCTCGAGGGTCATCTCACGGACTAAGATAATGCAACATCCATCCAGACAATCAGATGCTCTTCAGTCATTCCATCATTGTGATCCAGCATCCAGAACCGAGCCTAACTGGCTTGAGCGTGTGGGCTTGACAGAACTAACTACCTCAAAATCTGGTACCACTTTCACAGAGCTGGTAGACTCGGGGAACAAGCATAAACTCGGAGGCATTTCTGGCTTTGACAAACCCAGACCGAGGCAGGAGTCCCTCGGTTCTTACCGGCCGAAACTCATCTTCAAGAAGCGCGACGATGATTCATGCGTGTCTTCCAGGCCTTCGGCCGCAATCAGAGCCACGAAAGCCTTCCGGGACCTGAAGGTTGCTGGCATGTCCCTTACAAGGACCTCTGCCGTGATATGGTACAGAGGCAATGCCAAGCTTGACGTGAACAAGGGACAGTATGGAGGGGTGTGTCTTATTGACCTGAGGACAAATGGCATTGATTACTTCAGGTAAAGTTTAGATATAACTGCAGTAAAATCATCTGTAGACATCTTACATGTTCCTATTTTTTTTCAAGAAGTATGGTATGGAAAGGTTTCACTCAGGACATCTCAAGGAGTTTCCAACAAGCCTTTTTGAGTTAAATCTGATTAAAATCTGGTACATTGAGTTCTCTAAATTCACGTGAACATACCGATTTTTAATTCTCCACACTAAAGACACTGTTGCTATACCTTGTGATTTGGGACAAGCTTTTGCTTGGTTACATAAAAGACGGCTTGCACCAATACACTGTTTCCAATGGATGAGAAGGGCACAAAGTAACCAGTCCATTCCAGAGATGATGGTTGCTACATGTGTGCAAAAGCTTGCCCCGAATCACGAGGTATAACAACAGTATCTTTAGTCCGGGGAATTGAAATTGTCATGTTTATGTGTAATCAGATAACTCAGTGTTCCAGATTTTATTCAAATTTAACTTACAGAAGGCTTATTTGGAAATATTTTGTGTCACTTTGATTTATATAGTACTTTAAAAAGGAAAACATTCTCTGATGACTATCAGAAATGAGGTTGAAGTTACTCTTGTCAAAGATTTTGTATTGTGTTGCTTGATTCTAGAAAGTTCACACTTACACTTACCTGTACAGGTACACGTACATTTGAACTCTCCCAAGACACTTTACTGCTGTCACAGAGACCGATAGATCTGAGTTTTAGCAAGCCTAATTTTGTTATTGCAAAGGAGAACCCCAAAAAACAAACGAATAAACATTGCTTTTAGGAATGCTGGATATTCCCATTTGGGTCTCAATTCTGGTTTAATTCATTCCTAATGGGGCAGCTTTGCAGAGCCTGTTGCCGTCACCTTTTCTCACGACTCCAGCCATCCACACCTTCTCTTATCAAGTGGCAGCATTGAGGCCATTGCCTATGGTGTGGATCAGGAGACCCTTGTCAATAAGGTGTGTTACGGCAATTTCCACTATTATCCCTTAACCCCCACCAGCCGTTTTGTGCCGGTAACCATCCCTGATTCCTTTGGAATCCTCCACTGTGCAGCTAACCCTATGAACGGTAGCTGGGCTCTACTGTTCTCAATCCTGCAAAATCTTCAAAACCTTCTTGCTTTAAAGGTTAGAGGAGGTACACTGTATCCGCTTTGAAAAGAAGCACCCCTCATTGGTTGAAAGGAGTCATGTTGATGGGGAGTGTTCATTTTGTTGGTAGTGACCTGACCATAATGCTTGCATTTGATAGTCATTGCTGAATCAAAGAAGTGCAGTTCCCACCAAAGGACCCTCGTTTGCTGGGAAAACCGCAGTCTCTTGGTCCTGCTCGGGCCTCATGGGCTTAATTCCCCCACTCCCAAATCTTCTAGCAAACCCATTGCACAGTCTTTAGACTTAAATTTTCAAGGGTTATCAAGTCCATTATTAAAAGAAAAATGGCTTGGCTCTACCTTCCTCCATCCTGCAAAATCCTCCAGAATTCCCTGTGTGGATTTTATAACATACTGGTATTCATTAGCCTTACTTGATACCATAAAAATCTTCTCCTGATCTTTTGAGGTAATTGCTGAAGATGTAAGTATGTTTTTTAAATCATCATATATTTTCTTAAAACCACGCTTGAAAATGCAGCGAGGGCAGCCATTCTAGCATGAGTTTAAAAATAGATTGATAGTCAATACCAGTCATTTGCTCACCCATCAACAGCATGGTGTGTACAATTTACCTGCATGTGTACGCTATGTTCTCTTCAGCATTTCTCTGCTTATTCCCTCTGCGCTGTCTGAGTGAATTCACATCATTATGCATTTCCGTAATCTGAAACCTCTTTATGTCCGTTCTTGGGGTGCGTCACCTGTAGCTGATGATCTTCTGCAGTGCCAGCCTGGCTGAGACGGTATGTCACTTGAATCAGTGGGATCATTACTCCATACCCATACATGCCCTGGAGGTTGGCCTCAAGCAACGACAGCTAGACACGGTGGCCTTCTTCCTCAAGAGCAGGGAGAATGGTAAGAAACTGACAATTTTAATTGTCTCATGTTTAATATTCAACTACGCTCTCATTTTGTCAACTGATGAAAGCGCATTGGTTCTGAAAGAAGCCCAGAGCATGGGAGCTAAATTTAGAACTGGTTTTGAAAGAAAGCTTTGTCTAGCATGGTCAGCTGTCAAGAAAAAGAGAAATTCACAAAAAAACTTAGTTGTCTGTTTGTAAAGCACCTATAAACCAAAGGAATAGTTTGATGAAAACTCTTGCATCAGGTCAATTTTTCTTTAAACTAACAGTCTTGCAGGGCAATTCTTTTGTTCCACAGGGAAACTTCCTTTATGCATACCCTGTGGAACAAAAGCACTGGCCTATAAGATGGCAGCCATGCAAACCCTTTATATGTTGTCACTAAGTATTCTGTTATAACTGCAAATTCAGTCCAGCTTGGCCTTCCACTGCCTGCCCAATAAATGTTTAATTATAAATGGATGTAGTTTTCAGGTACTGCCCAGTTCCTAGCTCTACAGCCCGCGTGGGCAGCCCCCGCACCCCCCCTCCTCCTACGGCCGACCAGACCCAGCTCTGGCCGGCCCTGGACCTGCTGATGGCTTCAATCCGCGCCCACGCCCGTGAGCACCAGTCACGGCAGTACGCCCTGCAGCTGCTGAACCTGACACTGGCCCACGCAAACCGGCTGGTATGCAACGCTACGGAGACAGCCCAGATACTGCGACAAGAGGAAGACGGGGGTGGGCCGGGCATCCTGGAAGGGTTCAACCTGACAGAGGAGGTGTTGGCGAATGCCCTCCAGAGGCTGAGGGGGTACATCCAGGAGATGTGGGTGTACCTGAACGGGTGTCCCAAATGGATCGGGGAGAAAGAGACAGAGGAAATGGCAGTAAACACAGGTAAGTGGTCAGACTTCAGTACGCACCTGAAAGGCTAATATAAAAGCAGAATTAGAAGCTGTCATAGCAGAGGCACCATAGTAAAAGTCCTGGAATTACTTCTCAATTTCTAGGGTGGTAAAAGGCATGGAAATTTATGAAGACCAATTTATTTTAAAGTTGAAAATTGTGCAAATTCATGATTTACAGTAGTTTGGGAAATTTTGATTTTGTTGATCGATAAAACGTGACAAATTTGACAAGTTTCAGTTTTGCATTCAGAGGGTTTTCATATGTAGAGTCCATCGAAATAAAGACTTTCAGTTGCGAAATGAACATAAAAGAAACTGCATATCATAATAACAGGCTTGTAAAAACTCTTGGAGCTAGGAGATTATTCGGTTACTGTGACTAAGTTTGAACTTCTTCTATTATCAAGGAAATTCACTTTGCTGGCCAAATTCAGCCTAGAAAGCTGTGTTTGTGTGTCAAGGCTGAGGAGAAAAAAAAATCATTGTTATAGTCTTGACAAATATTTCAATAACATCTTGCTACAGATGAGGTTGATTCGGGGTCGAGAAATTACTTTCTGCCAGAGGAGAAAACAGCACAGATACACATCAAGAAGTGGCAGAAAATGGCACAACAGGTGAGAGTTACTGGACATCATACATCACGTTGTCTTTTGACAATGAAAAGTCGAAATTCCACAGAAGTGGACCGCAAAAAGTTAAGTAGCTAAACAAGGCATAAAAATTCTTTTGACGATGTTTTTGTACCATATTTTTTAACTCGAAAAATGAACTTTGTGGTGAAATGTTTGTAGTCGTTTTCCAATGAAGTCTTGGACTGAATTTATTGGCATGGGAATATCTGAACTTTGTCGATTGGTGTGCTGCTACACTCACTGGTCATTTGTCACAAAACTATTCCGATGCATCAAGACATACATGTAGCAGTGATCATAAAGCCTGGTTTCCACATGGTCATTCGTAATGCAGACGGTCTGCAAGACCTGAAAACGCAGACATGAACAGAAAAAACATTGCATGACATCATTCACCCAAAAATTGAAACAGAATGTCATCCAAAACTCCCTGATTTTGGGGGGAAAATACCCTTTAAATGGACTGTACCTTGTCTTGATGCCAAATCTGCACCCCATCATGTATTTGGTTGATGGCAAAGTTGAACCTAGCTTAACTCTGCCGATCGTTCATAGGCTGGTTTGGGTTTTTCTGCGTTGTTGGTTACACAGCTGTTTGGCATAAGTCCGTGTTGCTGTTTGCATCTTGATTGCATCGTCCTCTGGGTTTCTTGCGTCGATGTGCAAACCAGACTTTACCCTCTGTACATGGACAGTGTACATGTACCTCTTATAAACTGCAATTCACCATTGGGATCTTCGCTATAGTCGCAGTCAAATGTGATGCATTGGTTCACCTCTTCAAATTCAGTTGTTGGGTTAATTTGCAAGTTCATGCTGACATTGTGTATGATTACCAAGTAGAAATGAAGTGTGGTGTCAAATTGTCATTGTTGATTTAAATATTGGTGAATTTCTTTTGCTCTTAGGAAGTGATCCAAGATGCCATTTTGAATCGCTGTCTGCCACTGGCCCAGGCCTACTTGTGCAGTTCCCATGGAGCGTCAGAGGGTAATGTTCAGATGTCAGATTTGATTGACCAAGGGCTCCATCTTGTGCTTAACTCTCTGCTAAATGCTGACTTGGACACGGCCACCAAGATGTTGCAACACATGGTATGAGTCTGGATTTAACCCTAAAAAGCCAGATTTGTTTTCAGATCTTCTCACAGCTAGGGGAGGTAATGGCCGTCCCAAGACCAGTCTTCCTAAAACTTGACATGGCAGTTGAATGTAAAGATATCAGTTCATTTGAGTACTTTGGTGGACTTTCAATTTAACCTGACGTACAGTTTTAATGTTACAACTACTTTCATGTATAGTTTACACTCTCGGATATCAGTTTACATGTATTAAGCATGTCAGTAGGAAATGTTACAGTTTTTGCCAAAGTGTCTCCTTAAATTGGTTTCAAATTGACCACATGACCCCTTTTGGGGTCAACACATCGGCAGCCAACTACAAGTTTACTCGTAGTCACAGGTGCGCTGGATTTTGCCACTCTGAGTATGCTTGTAGGAAATGAAATGCTATTTCATGTAAATTGAATACACTGGCATCACTGTAGAACATAACAAATACCCTGCTGGCAGTGTGGAGGGCGTACACCTGTAAAATGCTCATGTTCAAATAGACACTTGAAAGGTACCTGTTAAATATGCGAGCATGCGTACAGCGCTTGGCAAATGGAAACGCCCCTCTGATATTATGCTCAGCAGTCAATGCGTTAACCATATGCTGCTGGGTTAAATTAGAAGTTGCATGACGTATTCCGGGGCGATTTTCAAGATTTTCCATTTTCAGAATTCTTGAAAAATTCATAACTTTATTTACTGGATGTTTACACCTACACAAATGATTGTCAGGTGGCTACTCTAATCTGACAGACAACATCTATTGACCCCGAGTATTTCAGCCAGGCCTGCCGCCTTGTAAAGAGAGCCCAAATTGTACAGTGTTGCGTAATTTTTTATTCCCGAAACTGGCCCAGTGCGCTGCTGGCATCTTTTCAGATGCAGACCAGATTAGCATGCAGCAGTATTGTATCACTCATCACTGGACCGCTGGAGCACTCTTGTCCCCGGTGGTAATCCGCTCGCGCTGAACGCCTCAAACAGTGGTATAATCATTCAAAACAATGACCAATTTCCTCCGCCATTGACAGCTGAAAAAATGTTGGCAATTCCGTGAACCTGATCTTTTGTTCCTAGTACGGTGTTTTGTTATGATCTTTTTTTGCCCAATTTCGGGCATCTCGGCTTTGTGCATAAACCAACGTCTCCGGTACCAGGTCCCCCACACGAAGTGGTTTAGGTAGTTGCAATAGAATACAATTTCTAAAGAGTGGAGCATTCTATAGTTGGTAGAATTACCTTCATTTTTCATTTAAATCAAATATATGTGGACACAAAAACTTTAAGTGTGCTGGGTAAAATGCTGGGATAACTCATCTTACAAGTGCACATTCCAAGCTTACTGCAAGTTAATAGGTACCATTCGAAAATTTTTTTGTTTTGCTCAATTTTCAACATGGTACATTCCTCGGAATAAGTACATTAGTGGATGGATCTGTGTGATAACTTGTCCATCAATTCACTCTTTTTGCGGCTTGTGTTTTAACGTCAGGGCTATGATGTCAACACAGAGTTGAAGAAGATGTGTCTATACACAGCTAACCACAACCTCAGAAACTTCTTGGTGAGTTGTGTTTATTCTCCTGCAGCTTGTGAGAACCGTCTTTTCAGGGGCATTTACGTTTAGGTCATACAGTGTTGCAGGTGCACCTAGATCTGAGTTGGATGTCCATGTGTAAAGTGGTTGATGTAAATGCTACCCTGTACTTCAGAAACAGTCTGAAACAGGTTCAAATATAAAATAAATTTGAAGCCCTGATAAAATACCATCACCACCACCACCACCACCACCACCACCACAAACAACCCACGACATAATAGCTAATAACAAAATAGCTAACAACAACAACAACAATTCGCCAGTTCAAGGTCATTGTCAGAGTTTTATCTTGTGAATGGTTGTAACTCTCCACATCAGGCAATGATTCCAAGTGCAGTGGCTCAATTTAAGTCTAGAACTAGTTTTTTTCTTCCTCTTTGATATGTACTCATGTAGACTTGAAGTTTACTCTTAGGCTCTTGTTTCCTCAGACTCAAATCTTTAACTACAGACCTGCTGTCAAGCCAGTCTGGGTTCATATTTAAATACGAATTACGATTGCTTTGTAGTAATTTGCATTAGCCTTTCATCAATGAATTTTATAATGAATTCATTACAAGTTGATTAATATTCATTTCAGATTGACCACCTCAGCCAATCAGGACAGTTTACAGTTGAGGAGGAGGGCATGATAAGCTTCATCCACCAATTAGAGCACCTGTACACATGCCAATCATTTGAGAGGGCAAAAGCATTGGCCTTGGAAAGCGGGAAGAGGTAAAGGAACAGTTTTGTGGTTAAGCCTTTTTGTGACATCTCTATGGAAGAAATCTGATATTTAAACTTTTCTTCCTCATCTCGCTCTTGCTTGTGTCATTTCGGTGCAAGTTTTCAAATGCCTTTGGCTTCTGTATTCCGTCAGAGCATGGGCAGGGGTCGTCCCTCCCAAACAGTCCCTGAACTTCTGGGCGCAGAACTTCCTGGAGAACAGCCTTCACCGAGGCGAGCTTGTCATCAGTGAGCCACCCAACTGTGAGAACTTCCACTATGCCCACATTGTGCTGGAGTGGGTTCGAACCTGGGACCAGGAGATGAGAGAGCGAGTTTTACTGGACGTTCTTCTGAACTCCAAAGGTGAGGATTTTTGAAGAAGCCATGAAGGAGGTAAATTGGACTAATGATCAAGTATCCAGGGGTTTTTGTTACTCTTTTACTGAATTCCCCTGACTGAATACATCATTACTGTACTGTTTTTTTTCAGGTATCTCTTTCAGACCGCCCGTCTCTCCTAAGTCCACATGGCGCTATCTGACTGCCCACTTCCACAGCAAGCACCTGGTGGATTGGATTACTGCCAGCCTGCCCCGAGCAGGCAGCCGTGCCAAGCCTGAACCCCTCAGCCCTGTCCTGACTCAACCACTGTATGCACAGGGGGCGGATGACTTGGAGGGCTGCCCAGGCTATTTGAGGGAAAAGATCCTGGATGAACTTGCATGGTTTGTCATGCTCATGTTTTGTTTTTTAAATCTTAAAAAAATCCAGCAGCTGGTCATTTGAGACGCTTTGTATTGTAAAACACTGTCAGGAATTTGAAATTTTAAACGTAGAATTTCACGGAGGTCTTAGAAACTTCACAGGATGGTTTTGACTTTCCATACATGCATGTGTTAATGCTGGCAGTGAAGACTTTTGAATATAGCCTTAAAGTGTAGCTGCAATAAATTTTTCTTCAACACAATTTTTCTGCATCGTTGTTCCTCAATGTATGAAAACTCTTACACACTCCTATTTGGTTAAATGCATTGAAAAGTGCACACTTTTCAATAATCAAATTTATCAGTGTTTTCCCGGACAAGTGAGGGCGCTGTTGCTGTGAAGTCATCAAGGGAAGACATGGCTCAGTGCATAGGTATTTCTGGTTAAATTGTTAACCCAGAATTTACCTACTGAAAACATTTCTGAGAGAGGGGTTGATGGTTTCTTATTGTTATGCACATAAACAACTATGAATCAGCAAAGAAGGGAAAACTTAGTCCAGGAAAATCTACAAAAACGCAGGACATTTTTGTATACAAACCCATGTAACATTGAGGCTTCTTCCTGAGATGACATCACCGTTTTGCTCATGGATATAGAAATACTCATTAGCTTAAAAACCGAAAAGGCATTAAAATACCCTTTGAAATGATGAAACTAAAGTTGAAAATAAGGTTTATTGAGGCACAAAGGTGCATTTTACAGGTTTTTAGTAAAAAACATTGATTGCAACTACCCTTTAGTATGTACATTTGTGCCTGTGTTTACACTTTGACTGTGATGAACACTGAAAAGTGTGGTCTTGTGTGGTATCAAGTTGGGAATATGGAAGTTTGGGTGTTTAATGTATCATACAAGTACCTACGCTGCGAGATTGGATTTGTATCAATGGTTGAGTGGCACAGACATCGGCACAAGTTAAGGTGGATGTTACGGGTTTGAGTCCCACCCACTTGTGAAGGTATTGGCTACAGGCTCACAGAAAATAGTTAGCATGAAACGCATGACAAATTGTGTTTGCCAAAGGCAAACCAGATATACTGAGAATCTAAATAAGGTTAGAATGATTAACGATGGTTTCATATCCCTTTGACAGTCGTGGAATCTTCTCATCCATGGAGCTTTCCAAGTTTGACCAGCTCTTGACCCGACTCAGCCGCACCTTACAGGTGTATGCAGATCCACCGTCGCTCCACGGAGACCTTGACATCAGGGAGCGATTCAACCAGTGGTTTATTGAACTCTGTCTCAGGGAGGAACTGCCTAATGTCTTGTACCTCTACCTTGACTACTATGGGTAGGACTGATTCTGTCTTTTTTTAGTTATTTTAGCACAATCAGGTGTTTTAATCCTGACTGCCTTGGTTTTGATTTGGCCAGAAGGACCATATATTGCCAAAAGACTACAAGTATTATGTTAGCTGAAGTAGCGTCTTCTGAAATGTATATTGCTTGAGTTGCGAATTGTGCTTAACAGCTGAGGAGATTGAATTTCAGATGCATCGCACTACTGAGTCTTCGCACTCTATTGGGCATCTGGCGATGAGAATTAAAAAAAGAATATTCACTTTTAAGTTGGTCATCAAAGCAGGATTTCAACAAAGTGTAAACAGATACCAATCGTTCGGAAACTTGTGACCCACCAGTTCAAAACTAGGCTGAAGATTAATAAGATATTATCGGGAAGATGATACCAGTACATGTAGACATGTGAACAATGCACATTCCGCAACTTTCATTGACCTTAACTACCGTAGCTTTCCACATACAAAATGTTCACTTTGGATCTTGTTGAAGTATGAAAAATCAACATTGGGAGATGCTTAGACAAACATCCAAATTATTTTATCTGTCAGATTTGGGGATATTCAGTCACAAATTAATGACAAAGCAATCACTTTCGGTGAGGAACTACACTTAGATTTGCTTTGTACTGACCACAACGACCAGAGAGGCCATTGGCTCACTGCAAAAGCGTCTTGAATTGTGCTTGTAGACGATGGTTTCGGACTTAAGTTTTGTCACATGTTCTTTTCCAGGTTGTATTTGTCTGAGAATGAAGTGATATCGATGCAACCACCGCTAAGCGAGAGTCGATGGCTAGAGATGCTTCTACACTTCCGATGGGTCGGACGGCAAACGACAGGTAACACAGACAGTTTCAGATTTGCAGTTGATAAACTGAAAGTGATCGAAGGAGGATTTGAACCTGAGACCTTGGGACTGAAAGTTCTTGTGGTTTACTAACAGAGCTGTTTAATAGTACATTGATCAGCTTCATTCTTGGATGCTAGTCAGATAGCATATAACCCACGTTTTGGGGCTCAAATCTCACGGTAATCAATTTTTTTAATCAAATGATACCTTTAAGTAGCGAATTAAAGTGATTTGGAATTCTAGTTGGAGGTCATCTGAAAGTTTATCCGAAGTTGGTTTCGGGCAGGTAGGCATTCCTTGGGCATAAGTGATGGAGAATGGAGAGTGGAGAGAATGGCGAAGGAGAATGTTGCAGTTGTTGAGTTGGGTTAAAACACTTCTGATTCAGAATGTTTCACAAAGGATGTTCAAGTTTCATTTCTGTACTTAATAAAATTCCTTCCAGATCCTTCTTTGATATTCCAAGCCAGCCTCTCCAACTCCCAACTGTTGCTAGGTGACAGCCAACCAACAGTCTCACAACTCGTATCCAGTCATCCACTGGTTGCCCTGGCAACCCTCATCTTTGCACCAGGAACATTCTCTGAGGTATTGCATTGTTAATGTGTCCTTCGTCTCGTCCCTCCAAACTGTCCTCCCGTAAACAAGAAATTGAACACCAGTTAGTTCAAATTAGAAGTCAATTTGGAACCAAAGCACGTGTCATTGTTTGCTAAATGTGAAATTGGAGTTTGTGGCCATTGTTACACTCGAAGAGTAGACCGTGGGGCTTACATCCTGCCTTATTTGTAAGCCATAATAGTTTTGGTGGGAAACACTGTATGTGTTTGCACTAGGCCATGACTCCAGCAACCACCGTTGAAGAGCAACTGTGGAAGGTAGATTCCGAAGCCTTGGAGATGGCCCTGAAGGCTTACCCTAAGCTACAAAAAGCCGTCTTTCCTCCTATCGATGTAGACGGGGTCAGTCAGCAGGATATCACTGTCTACCAACTGCTACAGGTAAGGATGGATTTCAAGTGTCTGCGACCCCACAAGTCGGAGTTGTTGCTTTTTGTTGTGGTTATAGGCCTGTCTGTTTCAGTGTCACTGTGGTATTGTTGCCAACCAGTAGCAGGTAAACTGTTATTGCTGGCCAAGAATACAAAATAAAGGGTTAACAAGTAACTTGGAGTGAGCAAAGCACCATATTATAAACATAACTTAATGCTAAATGAAAAAAGTCCTCTTGTTAACAAGGCACTGTACTTTTTCAGGCAAAACCTGACTCCAACCAAGTGTGATATTTCTGTAAATTCTGGTCACTTATACAGCAGCTGATTTCACAAAACGTGGCGTAACCTTAAACGGGTGCTATACTTATGTTTGATCTCACGAAAAGTTGCGTAGCTGCGCCACATTTTAATAACATTCAATTTCTTAGAAGAGGACAAAAACGGCTTTTACGATGGCTGTCCTTTCCGCTATAACAATAGTCATCAAATAGTGGTTGAAGCACCTCTGCCCGCCATTTTGAAAAAGATTTTGTCTTTTCTTCGTCAGAACTGGGCCAAAAACCTCGCCGTTCTCTTACAGCCAAAGGAGTTTTTCATTACCTTTGAAATGAAAGTTGTACATTTCTTCTTTAAGCCTTGTTAAATTCAGCAATGATGAGGCTTAACCGAATACGATAAGCTAGTCAAATTGTTCATTTTTGCTCCATTTAGTGCAACTAACGCCACCTAAAATGACTGCATAAGTTATGCCATAATTTGTTGTGTAAGTTCAGTGCATAAGTTTCGTGAGATTGGTCTTGATTTGTTGCGCAACTTATGCACTAAATTGTGGCGTAAGTTGCGTAAACTCTTGTGAAATCACCTGCAGATAGCATGCCATATGGGAGAGATTTTTTGTTGTTGTGCAGGGCAACTGTCCATATGATCCAGCCAGGTTGTTTAAGTGGCAGTCAACCAACCCACTGGTCAACAAACGAGGTGAGCACCACCTGTCTGGCTCAGATATTTTGAAGTGATCCAAGTCTAACTCAGAGGGGCTGTTTGGTTCTGCAGCATTGTTTTAGCGACCCCCACCCGAATCAAGGATGGTTCATGCTTGGCATGTAAAAGAACACAAATGCGAGTTTGTGATTTGGGACCAAATATTTTGCACTGCAAATTCACAAAAGTTGAACACATTTCAACCTGGGCCAAAATTTGCTGCAAATTTGTCGTGATGTGGAATACCCTTTGCTTTCTCATTCTCCTGAAGTATGAACCCAATCTGACTAACCACCGCTACTTGTAAGTGGGACTTGCACACCAAATACGACATGCTATAAGCAGGTTGGTATTTTAGGATTGTAGCATGGACTACGTTCTTCACACTTGTAAGCTAGACCAGTTTTAGCTTACGCACCGCAGCAGTGGCTCTCTGTTGTGTGGCAAGTGGGGCGCTTTCACACTATGCTTACAAGCATGCCGAACGTCGTCCATGCTACGATCCTATGATACCAACCTACTTATAGCATGGGGTATTTGGTCTGCAAGCCCCACTTAAAAGTAGTGGTGGTTAGTTGGATTGAGTGAAGTATGAACTGGCTTTCAGCCCAGTTGCTTGAAATCAACCTTTCAATTGTCACTTTCCAGTTGTTGGAAGTGATAATGGATGGGAATGATAAGTGTGCTTGCTATTTCAGTTTAATGTGTAGCTGGCTGCTTCACTCCATAAAGTACATTTTTTTTATTGCTACATAAATAGTGAACTTGTGAAATTTGTACTTATCTTGTTTACATGTATGTGTCGTAAAAACTTCACATTTTCTGTTCTGCCTTTACGCTCAAATGGCCTGCACTTTGTTAGCTTGCCCAAATTCTACTCAAAATGTTCTTCCTGAAGTCCTTTGCCGTTTTTGTTCTTCCTCAGATCGTACCGAGATGCCCCATTTCTCCCAGCAGCATCTCGCCGAGCGGTACGCCTACACGGAGGCCTTCCGTTTCACCCACTACCTCTACCAGGGCCGGCCCTCCTTTGCCTACCTGGCATTCCTGGCCAGCCAGCTCCAAGGAGGAGGGACCCTCACCAAGAAAAAGTAAGTTCCGCACCGACTTCTGTCTCTTTTGTCTGTGATCATGTTGATTTTAGTTTTGGCCTTGAAATTTAGCACTGGAAATTAAAGATGCTTTTTGTGTACTTACCATGGGTCATGTGTATTGCTGTAAAAGTTTGCAAGGATGTGCAGTAGGTTGTGAAGGACTGCAAAGTTCCGAGCCATGTCAGAACTTTTTTTTCATGGCATATCTCTATGTTGTGTATTGCATTTTGATATGATTATTTGTTTGACATTTCATTGACAGGATTTTGAAATATATATCTTTCTATACCAGTATTTGCTTGCACCCATCTATTGCATATTCATATTCTGTCATGCATATTCACGCCACCAGAGTCCTAGCAGCATACTTAAAGGCCTACTGCACAGCCATCAAGTACTTCTCCAATCGTACGATTGCCGCAGCGTGCGTTGCATTCGTTGAGATGCTGGGGCAGGACAGCATGTCCATGCGAACTGACCTCCAGACTGCCCTGACCATACTGGAGAGCAGCGAAGTGAGAGGTGGGGCCAAGACCAGACAGGAGAGAGAGCAACTGGAACAGAATCTGGGTAAAATGAGCCTTGTGCAAGTTCACTTTGAGTTCAGGTGAAATCTGGAATCTTGGTGGTGCATTCCGAATTGGAATTCATAAACAAATATGCATTTTTGAAACCTTCAGTTCCGGAATAGGCTGGTGTCTTTGTACACTTCCTACCCCTCAAGAATATGGTATTGGCCTGGATTTTAAAATGAAATTTAGCCAGGAGCTTAATCCCTTGTGACTTTTCTGAATATGTTTGTTTTTACCATCAATGCGAAATTCAAACTGTCATTAGAATACTCATTCCATGGCTCTCATTGTCCAAAATGTTGGAAATTTCTTACCCACAACATTAATTTTTGAATCACTAGTGTCACAGTAATAAAGCAAGATTTTCAGTTAGAGAATGTCTCAAAATCCAATTTTGTGTTGATGATTGGTCACAGTCAGACGCCTGGTGCACATCTTCTTTGGTACCTATGGAAACTTTAAATCATATTCATATATTTGAAAATTTTTAAATTTGATCTAGAAAGAATGAATGAAATTTGTCCCTCTTTCACACAGTCAAGAGGCTACTTGCTTGTCTCCAAGGCTCAAGGAGTAATGCCGAAGAAGTCCTGAGATTGCTGGAGGAGGCTATCACCATCAAGCTCAGTCTTGCAAAAGTGAACCTGTGAGTGTAGATCTCATGGCTGAATTTGAGTGAACGACCTGATTGAAGTTGCATAAGTGCCCGTGTTTTACTTTCCCATGGAGGAGAGACTTACAAAGGAAAGAACAGATTCTTCTGGTCGGTGGAGGTCAGTCCTTTGTTCAGGTCTGTCCTCCATGGTAAGTGCCTGTGCTTGGCCGATGAGAGAGTTTTATATTATCACATTAGGAAACACAGTGCCTTGTTGCTGAAGTAAATCACAATCGTGGTTCGACGTAAAACACATCGTGTGGTTATATATAACAGGTTTTGCCCTTACCCAACGTAGATTAATTGGGTTGTCCCACCCGAGTAAGCTTGTGAGGTTTTTTTCGCAAGCTTTCGGACAAGCACTGAGCATACAGTGCTTATAAATATACGTTGGGTAAGGGCAAAACCTGTTATATATAATTAACATCTCCCAACGCAAAAATACATCTTGAAAA